CCGACCTTAGCTCTCAGTACCACATCGCGAGTTATAGATTGAAGATTACCCACCAAGTAAAAGAAATACGATTCAGCCTTCATTGCTTTCCGTGGTTATGAAGCAGAAACAAAATTAGGGGCGGAAAATATGAAAGGAAGGTGGCACTGTTGCGCGGCAGAACGTCCTAAGAAGCCTTTTGATCTTTTACACATGCGTTTATGCGTGCAATAGATATTAATGAAAGTCGTCTGCTGCATTCTCGCTCCTTAGTTCCACGTTTATGGTCATTTAATAACCCTGTAGCGTAGTTTCGTGCACTAGCAAGTGTGAAAAGGGTCGGCCCAGAGGCCTTGCTCACTGTAGTCCCCACTCTGAAAGAGGGAAGAAGCATCATTATCGACTCTCGTTATTGACTAATGGGCTTCCTGAGTCCGGCTTCTCTTCCAGCAGGCGTCTGTATTCAAAATTCTAAACCGAGTTATAAACACCATTTTAACCCATTATCGTTGACAGAGAGACGCGGAGAACGTGCGGCGACCTACAGCGCTGGACCGTAGCATCGAGGATATCGCGATTATGGTACGTACTGTTCGGCTACTGAATCATTAGTTTATTCGGTTTTATTACTACTTGTTAGTATTTATCGCATTACTATTTTTTATATTTACTCGACTTTATTATAAGTTGTAATTGTTTATTGTGTTAATATTTTTTCATGTTGCTGCGGTTTTTTCATTATCAGAGCACTTTCATTCTGCGGACATCATTTTAGGAATTTGCATGCTTTTTTGCTCAGTCAGCCTGTTTTGCTCTACAATGGTTTTCTAGTGGACTTTCTGACTCTGAAGAGCAACCTTATAATGAAAACACCTCGGCTAAGTAAAAACTTACAAATAAAGGTGAGGTCCAGCCGAGGTACAAGTTGTGGGTCAATTGGTACCAGACCTGTTTGGTGCCAATCACCGACCCCTGGGGGAATGGAGGCTGGCCTAGACAGCGTACGATCCAAGCTTTGACTTCGGGAACGTGCGCACGGTAATCGGCTTCACTTGCCACTGCATTGCTCTCGCTCTTCATCTTCAGCGCCAAGTTATAGTGCGATTGGTCAGTATGTATGTCCACATGTCGATGTTCGGTGTGACCGTCCATCCGAGGGAGACGGAAGAGCTATTGGGGCACTATTCTATCGCGATTTCATCGTTTTGATAAGCCATTGAAACTGTCATGTCTGAGCGTATTTTCGACCATAGCGTATGATCTTTTCATACAATACCGCCACTAACTTTTGAAATTTCTCCGCTGAGCGACGGATTTGCAGCGTCGCAAAGCGTCGCCCCTTCATAACTCCCCCCAAAGCGGGTCAAATGATTGGTGCTCTACACCATTGGACTCGTCTCTCTGTGGCGAGTCTAACCATGTGGAAAACTACGGTACTCGCCGTAAAAAATCGAAAAAAACACGCGAAAAACGCGAATTCGCGTTTTTTTTTCGTTTTTTCGTTATAACTCGCTTCAGAATTAAGATTTTCGAAATCTGAAAAAAGCATTGAACTCAGCTCGTCGAGTTCTATAAGAATATGCTTTTAAACTTTTGGAAAGCCCTACTTCAGATTGCGCCATGCACTCGAGCTTTGGCTCGAGAAAAAATTGTTTGAATGTGGTGCGCATATAATCCCGCTTATGCATCATGATCGTTCTTCAGAGAGATGGGTCTCAGCAGTTGCCCCAGAACGCGCCGCGTATTCAACATCGTCCATTGTATTGTGAATGGATCGATTGCTTTTTTCCAGATTTCATGGTCCCTATTCCATAGCGGCGCGTTAAATGACTTCCAGATGAACTCGCAGACCTGAAATGTGCCCCGTTAGCTTCCCCGTGAAAAATGCTATCGAATGATATGCATTACTTCCCCAGTTGAAACTTTGGTTTTTCACCGTTTTCAGCCTTCCCCTATTGCCTATTGGGCATCCACGATTACTGCCCCAAAATCTCAAAGTTTCATTTTTCGTCGAAACTTTGTCTATTGGGGTAATTCGATGCCCTGATTACGAATATGACATTCATTTTTGATGCTGGCGCCATTTGGCGCCACGGCTGTTTTCACCAAATCCGCTGAAAACTTGTGTATAGGGGTTATTTGGGGTCCTGATCACGAATATAACATCCAGTTTTGGCGCCACAAACAACACTTCACAGTCAGAGCGTACTCTTAGGCACCTTTCTCAGAGCGCCGACTGTCAGACCGTGGAAAAGGTCATCGAATCGGAGACTTTCCCACGACAGGAAGGAGCCAGACCGTGGAAAACTGTAAGCTGAGCCAGAAGCATATTTCACGTTTTCGACAACGGAGAATAACGATGGCTCTTGCTACTCTTGAGCGACTCACTCATCAAGAAGAGTACTGGACTTAACCTTGAAGGACGTGTACAGGAAGCTTAAATTGGATCACCTGCAGTTACAGGACTGGTTGCGACCTGTCGTGGGAAAGTCTCCGATTCGATGACCTTTCCCACGGTCTGACAGTCGGCGCCCTGAGAAAGGTGCCTAAGAGTACGCTCTGACTGTGAAGTGTTGTTTGTGGCGCAAAACTGGATGTTATATTCGTGATCAGGACCCCAAATAACCCCTATACACAAGTTTTCAGCGGATTTGGTGAAAACAGCCGTGGCGCCAAATTGGCGCCAATGGCGCCAAATGACACCAGCATCAAAAATGAATGTCATATTCGTAATCAGGGCATCGAATTACCCCAATAGACAAAGTTTCGACGAAAAATGAAACTTTGAGATTTTGGGGCAGTAATCGTGGGCCCAATCGGCAATAGGGGAAGGCTGAAAACGGTGAAAAACCAAAGTTTCAACTGGGGGAAGTAATGCATATCATTCGATAGCATTTTTCACGGGGAAGCTAACGGGGCACATTTCAGGTCTGCGAGTTCATCTGGAAATGCAAAAAATCTGAATCTTTCCACAAGGGCATGACGAGGAGGCATTTTTAATAACTTCGTATAAAAAACACGCGAAAAATGCGAATTCGAGTGTTTTTTTCGTTTTTTCGTTATAACTCGCTTCAGAATTAAGATTTTCGAAATCTGAAAAAAGCATTGATTTCAGCTCGTCGAGTTCTATAAGAATGTTTTAACTTTTGGAAAGCCCCACTTCAGATTGCGCCATGCACTCGAGCTTTGGCTCGAGAAAAAATTGTTTGAATGTGGTGCGCATATAATCCCGCTTATGCATCATGATCGTTCTTCAGAGAGATGGGTCTCAGCAGTTGCCCCAGAACGCGCCGCGTATTCAACATCGTCCATTGTATTGAATGGATCGATTGCTTTTTTCCAGATTTCATGGTCCCTATTCCACAGCGGCGCGTTAAATGACTTCCAGATGAACTCGCAGACCTGAGATGTGCCCCATTGGATTCCCCGTGAAAAATGCTATCGAATGATATGCATTACTTCCCCCAGTTGAAACTTTGGTTTTTCACCGTTTTCAGCCTTCCCCTATTGCCGGATTGGGCATCATTATTCCACTATTACTGCCCCAAAATCTCAAAGTTTCATTTTTCGTCGAAACTTTGTCTATTGGGGTAATTCGATGCCCTGATTACGAATATGACATTCATTTTTTATGATGCCGTCATTTGGCGCGAACTGGCGTTAATTTGGCGCCAATTTGACGCCACAGCTGTTTTCATCAAA